TGCATGTATGCCTGCCGGCGAGAAGAGGGCACCAGACCTCATTACAGATGGTTGTGAGCCACCATGTGGTTGCTGGGAAATGAACTCAGAACCTCTGGAAGAGCAGCCAGTGCTCTTAACTGCTGAGCCATCTCTCCAGCTCCGGCATTAAGTTTTTGGTAATTTTTTCTTTCAATAGCCACAAGAAACTAATATAATCATGAAAACCAAGAAAGGAAGCTGGGGAAATAAAGTGCTTAACGTGTTAGTATGAGAACTGTGTTTTACCCCTAGAACTCATGCAAACATCTGGGTGCTATGGCATGCACTTGTAATCCTAGTTCTTAGGATATAGAGATGGGTCTAATCGGCAAGCCTCAGGTTCCAGTAAGAGACCCTGCCTCAAAAACCAAAGACAGTGACTCCTGAGAAAAGCACCCAGTGATGGTCTTTGCCTTTTATTCCTTTCGTAGGAATAAAAACAATCCTCAGAGCCGGGCGTTGGTGGCGCACGCCTTTAATCCCAGCACTCGGGAGGCAGAGGCAGGTGGATCTCTGTGAGTTCGAGACCAGCCTGGTCTACAAGAGCTAGTTCCAGGACAACCTCCAAAGCCACAGAGAAACCCCGTCTCGAAAAATGAAAAAAACAAAAACAAAAACAAAAAAAAACCAATCCTCAGAATTTCCTTACTTTTGGCAACTTGGCCTTGGGGAAGTCTGCCTATTAACGTGCCACACTATTCCTCCAACAGAGCCAGCCTTGCTGATCAAGGAAAATGATACTAGTGAGAAAATACACTTATCTTAAAAAATGGGGCAAAGTGAGTACAAAGAAATCTGTTAAGATACCACTTTGAACAAAGTAACTATTTGGATTTCTTCATTCTGTCCTTCCTTCTGCAATAATTATGAAAGTCATGAGACAGAGTTAACAGAAGTAAGTATCTGTGCTTGGGCTTGAAGAAACAGCTGATTCCATGATTATGGCAGGGGAAAAACTGGGACAAGAAGTATTACTTACATCACCTGCATCGGAAGGTTAGAAAGGACTCAGAGAAGGAAGGGGTTACATTAACAAAAGCTACCCTGATAGGACACACATGAGTACCTCTTTGAGTGTCAAGTGAGTCATTAGCAAACTATAACTCATCAAAAATTTATAATAATGTAGTAAATTAATGGGCAAAGAAACAGAATAAAGGAATTAGAAAAATCATTTAGAAGCCATTGTAGTATCACCAGTTTGTATATAAAATAACAATAGATGCTAAAATTAATGAAGGAAAGAATTTGCCAGGGTGAACTTGGAAAATCCTTCTCTAATCAGTATAAAAATGCTGT